AAAATGATTATTTGCAAAAATAAATATTCTTTGTATTATTCAATAAGTATTTTATTTTGATCAATATTATTCAAATAATATCAATACTTAAATTAATTTAATAACTCCTTTTTAAAATTAATATAATTTTGTTTAACAATTTAGATGGATGTTAAACCAAAAAATGTTTACATTGAACTTAAGGAATTATCTAACCAGGTGATAATGAAATACCCATTTGAAAAAAACTATGGATCAGCAACAAATATTGCAAGAGTAAATACGGATCAAATGAAAATTATAGCTATGATTAGGAATGAATATGAAAGAATCGAAAAAGTACTTAATGAATGTAAAGGTAATAGTCAATTTATATTTACATAAAAAAAAATAAAAACTAATATAAATATAAAAATATTAAAAACAGCAATCAAATAATAAGTGTCCAATTTAAATCTTTTTTTATGTATTTAGAGAAACTATATTTGTTTAATTTCCAAATATTTATATAAATACTATATAAAATATTTATTATTATGTTTTCAGAACTAGGAGATAAACTAGACCTGGTTCAATATTATTCTAAAGTGATGATTATTTTACTAGAAAAATTGAATATACCATCGAGTTTTTGTTGTTATTTAAATGATAAACAAATATTGAGCAAAATATTTGAGTATTATTGTAATGATTGAAATTTCATCTCAAAGTCAGTATTTTTAGATTTTTTGAATAATGAAAAACTACTGGATGATGAGAATGTATCATACAATAATATAATTGACCAATTAGATTTACAAAGTAATTATTTAAGCATTTTTTAAAACTATTTAAAAGAAAAAAAAATTGAATATTATTACATATAAGATAATGATTTGTGAAGGACGATAAAGTTGTAAAAGCTAATAATGTTATTTTTCATTCAACACATCACATGAGTAATAGTACCAACAAATCTTCATTATAAAGTTATTTAATATTTATTTAACCACATTGCAATAATAATAGTTTTCTCAAAATTATTCATTACGATGTGATTTTGTAGACTTTTATAAGAAAAAAAATATTATCAGGTTTTTCTACGTTGATGGAACCTTATTTGGGAAAATATTTGGATAATTTGGGATTAACTCAATGTACATAAGATTTTTTAAATAAATTTGAACTTGTAAGAATGTTTATCACTTAGTAAAAATTTGTGTATTACATTTTAAAATCATAAAATATATTACTGTATTATAACAATATTGCATCTCATAATAACTAATTTTTCAAATAAAGTGTGATATTATTTAATGTTATAATAAAGATTACAAGTTGGTTTTGATATTACACTATAAAAAGTTTTGAAAAAATTAATTTAACCATATTTTTACTTATTGTTTTGTAAAAATAATTTTATTTAGTACAATCTTGTTCTTATAGGTAGATCACAGTTTTCAGTAGCAGTGCCCGACTATACCCGGCACGATAAGTTTTTTATACAAAAGTATTACTTTACAAACAGTATAACAAAAAAAAATAAAAATTTAATTATGAAAATGAGTTATTAACAATTTAAAGTAATTGCTGGTGGTGAGTAGTGGATGATTCTATTTTTTATCACTAGTTGTTTCCGGCCCTACTCTTGATCACGCTTAGGTATAAAAATGAGAATAACTTCTAAATACTTAAACAAAAGTTATTATGAACCAGTAATTTTCTTAATTAGATTACTTTCTACTTTATAAGCTAGTCACACTTCTGAGTATTTATTACAGCAATCTAAAAATTCAATTAAGAAATGTGAAGAATATAATTGTAAGGTAACTAGTATAGTCTCAGACAACGCTGCAAATGTGACCAAACTGAGAAGAAATCTGTTTGAGGAATTACACAGAAAAGATAAAATAACTTATAGTTTTTCAGCCCATATATTGAGCTTACTTGCCCATGATATAGAAGTTTGTAAAATGTATTTTGTATTTGAGAATTTTTCTTAAGTTTTTTCATTATATTAATAAAGAAAATGAAAAAAAAATGCTTGTTTAATTTAAGTGTTTTAAACCTAAGCAAATGCAAAACAGTTGATTATAACAAAATGTTTAAAACGAAACAACCCTACAAAGAATTAATAAACACAACATGCTTGATTCTAAGATTTAAATTAAATTGGTTGAATGATACAGATATTTTGTTTTTGGCAGAAGGATGGCTGAAAGCAGAATTTCAGAATTTCTAAATCATCTAAAAGCTCTTGTTCTGATGGCAAAGAAGACGAGGAAAATTTTTTTTGTATGCCCACAACTTTAAACAGGCCAAAAAAAAAAATAAAACTTGACCAGCAATTAAATGATTTTTTAAAGTTTTCTAATTGTCGTTTAAGTATTCCACATGGTTATCCTAATGTACTAAAAGCTTTTATGCGTTTTAATGTTGGTCTTCTGCCATCAAGTGCTCCAGTAGAACGTTTATTTAGTACAGCAGGTTCTATATTAGTTGCAAAATGTCATCAACTAAGCAATAATATGTTTGAAATGCTTTTATTATATTTATATTAAACTTGTTTATTAAATTATAAAATTATTTTTATCGTAACTAACCCCTTCCAAAAACTAAGTGATAATAAATTTTTATCAAAAATTCTTTTTGAGGCTCAATTATGATAATTGATAATCTAAGCAGCATTTTGATAAACTGAACATAGGACGAAGAGAATCTTCTAAAGAGTACAAAGCTTGTTCAGTTAGTTCAGCTGCTACTGGGAGATTTGCATTCAAACGAGCCCACTCAGTCATTTGTAATAGCACAACATTATATGGAAGGTTGATTATATTCTGAAAAAAATAAAACATTTTTGTACATAAAAATATTGATCATTTGCAAGTGAATGAAATATAGTATACAATTTTTTTTTTGCTTAAATAAATAGAATGAGTAAGTAATCAACACTTATTTATTTAAGAAATTGTTTTAATTGATGGCATTATCTATCAAGTTTAATTTAAATAAATTTAAAAGATTTTTGTTGAGTACATTTTTACAAATTAAAATATAATATATTTTTTAATAATTACCACCAAATGTTGTTGAGACATGTGTGAGACAGCATCANTAAATGATTTTTTAAAGTTTCCTAATCGTCATTTAAGCATTCCACATGGTTATCCTAATGTACTAAAAGCTTTTATGCGTTTTAATGTTGGTCTTCTGCCATCAAGCGCTCCAGTAGAACGTTTATTTAGTACAGCAGGTTCTATATTAGTTGCAAAATGTCATCAACTAAGCAATAATATGTTTGAAATGCTTTTATTATATTTATATTAAACTTGTTTATTAAATTATAAAATTATTTTTATCGTAACTAACCCCTTCCAAAAACTAGGTGATAATAAATTTTTATCAAAAACTCTTTTTGAGGCTCAATTATGATAATTGATAATCTAAGCAGCATTTTGATACACTGAACATAGGACGAAGAGAATCTTCTAAAGAGTACAAAGCTTGTTCAGTTAGTTCAGCTGCTACTGGGAGATTTTCATTCAAACAAGCCCACTCAGTCATTTGTAATAGCACATCAACATTATATGGATGGTTATTGATTATATTCTGAAAAAAATAAAACATTTTTGTACATAAAAATATTGAACATTTGCAAGTGAATAAAAAATAGTATAAAATTTTTTTTTTACTTAAATAAATAGAATTAGTAAGTAATCACCACTTATTTATTTAAGAAATTGTTTTAATTGATGGCATTATCTATCAAGTTTAATTTAAATAAATTTAAAAGATTTTTGTCGAGTACATTTTTACAAATTAAAATATAATATATTTTTTAATAATTACCACCAAATGTTGTTGAGACATGTGTGAGACAGCATCATAAAGTTGTAATTGAACTTGCTGATATTTTGGATTATGTTCATATGAAAAGTACATTATACCATTTTTAGTTTCAATGTATTTCATTGTTGATCCTAAAATATAAAAATCTTTAGAAGAAATTTCAATAATCATTAATTAACTCTTTTATTTGCTTACCTGATTTCCCTACAGGTGGAAAATTATCTTTAGGGGTAACAAGGGGTTGTCTTTAAATAATTTCTTCCTCTAAATTTTGTTTTTCTAAAACATTTAAATAGCCAAGTTAAGTTAAAATATATTGAGATTGGAACAGATCTAACAGATAAAAGTAATAGGAGTTATCAGTTGATAACTCCTATAACTTTTGAAACAATTAATATTCTGATATAATTTGTATATTAAAATATTCATGTATTCTTGGATTACGTCAAGATCATATTTTTATTATTTGTTGTTAATAATAAAATGATAAAACAATTTTTTTTTAATTTAAAAGTCTGTTAGCTTCGATGCGAAGCAGAGAAGGTATTAATTTTACTATGATGTGTTTTTTTTTTTTTTTATGTCTGTTGTCACTTTTTCTCAGCTCTCACTGGACCGATTTCTNTTTTTTTTTTTTATGTCTGTTGCCACTTTTTCTCAGCTCTCACTGGACCGATTTCTTTCAAAAATACGTCAAAAGATCACAAATCGTATCTAGTTGAAGACATTACCCTTAAAAATTGAAAAAAATTCCCTTGTTCCCCGCAAATGGGGGAAATATCCAAAAAAATTACAAATATAAAAATCTNTAAAAATTGAAAAAAATTCCCTCGTTCCCCGCAAATGGGGGAAATATCCAAAAAAATTACAAATATAAAAATCGCTAATTTTCCAAATTTTTTCACTNAAAAATTTGTCCTGACATCTTATCTTCTATGTGCAAATGACTGTCGAAAATTTAAAAAAAAATGTAATGTTTGCGATAAAAATAACCTTTTATCAGGATGTTTTTTGTACTTAAAACTGCCATTACTTATTCAAAAATGAACAAATAAAAATAATATTTTTTTATACTAAAACCTTGGATATTTCCCTTTCCATATCCATATCATTNTTTTTTTATACTAAAACCTTAAATATCTACCTTTTATTTGATATCATTTTTTTGAAAATCTATCACTTAACCTGCTCATTAGGGGGGATTTAAAATAGTAATTTTTTTTACAAAAATTAACTTTTTCAACTTAATTTTTGAAAATGTTCTGGAAATACTGCGTCCTTCAAACATATAACAAATTAAAGCTTATTTTATGTACTACAAAATGAAAAAAAAAAATTTTCCCTACGACCTATCTTCTATACGCAAATGGCTGCCGTATTCAAAGATATGCAATTTTTGTATTAAAATTATGGGTTTTGTATTTTATTTTAATAGAAGTTGATTTTGATTTTGCAATTATCTATCAATTTTTCNTTCTATACGCAAATGGCTGCCGTATTCAAAGATATGCAATTTTTGTATTAAAATTATGGGTTTTGTATTTTATTTTAATAGAAATTGATTTTGATTTTGCAATTATCCATCAATTTTTCAAAATTAAACACTATCTACAGATTTGCATCGAAGCGTTTCTTATGATAGTGATTTGAATCACTTTCAGATTAAATCTATACTGGACCTAACTATGTAATGTCTCCAATATGCCGCGACCCCACTGTGCTACCGTTTTTTTAACACATTTCTTACAAAAATGAATAATATGTCTATACTAATTTTAGGATGATGATTGACTTACAAGTATTTTAATACATAGTGATTATGTAACGAGTTTAGGTACTGCTGATACTAGTGTATACAGATTGATGCCTTAACTACAACTCAAGAAATATCATTGATAATATTATAGATAATTATTATTTTATTTTTAACAATAATTGATTTTAGTTGAGCTGTTAGTTATGAATACAAATATTATTTTTTAAATTTTGTATTAGAGAAAACTTTAGGTTTAAAAATGTTGGTAATGATTTAATATGACAATATTATATTAAAATTATATAGTTTAAAGAATAAAATAATATTTTCAAAATCTATTAATGTTAATAATTATAGCTCTATTTAGTTTCTTTCATAATACTATTATATTTAATAAATTGAACAATTAATTATGTTAAAGAAAGTTTTTATTAAATATTACCTGAGTTCAGCTTGAAACATTTTTCAGAGTTCATTGTTTAGATTAAGGTTGTGATGTTGCACAGATTAAATATTCTTGATGTAAATACATTACTTGATCTGAGGTAAATTATTTTGAAATGATGATGCTTCTTCATCTATATCCTTATAAGATACTTCACCCAAAATTTTATTTACCTCGCAAACACTTCTTTCATCCTAAAATAATATTTCAATTAAAATTTATTTATGTGAAAGAAATTTTGTAAAAATTCTTAGAATCATACATTAACATTGTCTTTACTACTTTGAGTATGAGATGATAACACTTTACACGACTCCTTCCTCTTTTTTTTGTCTACTGTATTCTTTATCACAAAACAAATGATCATCTCTCTTTTTTAAAGAGTCTGTAGTTTCATGATCGTATCTTCTTTAATTTCAGTTTCTGACATTGAACCAATATTCAACTATACAATTTAACAAAAATATCTTAACATCATATATATATATATATATATACAGAATAGAACAGATCTAACTGACAACTCATATAACTTATGATCTACATAAAATTTTATATATATTTTTTTAAAATACATTTTTACAATATAGAACTAAATTTATATATAGATTTTATAGATAAATTTTAAAGAAAAATTTTGATACCAAAAACTCTTGTTTTAATTCAGTAGTTACGTTCATTCAACATTTTGAAGTTTGTTAAATTTTGATTTTTTTTACAATTTTCCTATAGTAAAAAATTTTAGTCCATATTATGTAAAGTACAGAAGTAAACACTTATTACATTATTTACTGGTAACAATACACAATTTCTTTTCAATGAAAATGATTAACATTTGAATAAGGATTAGTAATTGACATGAAAAAACTAGTATTAAAATTAAAATTATTGAATAAAATTATAAAAACATTGCCTAAAACATGTTGAATTTTTAATTAAATGAGTTCATATATCATAAATTGAAATGTGAATAATAGTGAATAAGTGCATTTATTACAAAATCTCCTAAAAAGGAATATCCCATAATAATACGATTACAATGATAGAATCACACAAATTAATAATTGTTATTATTTCTAACTTGGCTAACCATGGAACACTCGTAGTTGACATATGAAAATGTTTCTAACTTTAAAGTAATATGAGTTGTCAGTTAGATCCGTTCCACTCTGTATATATATAGATAAAGGAAATAAAAATGAAAACTATCCAAATCATACATATTTAAATGTGTTTTCTTATTTACACCACCAAAACTAGTTTCAGTGTCATCACTTGATTCATCATTAGCAGGTGGCATGTCTCGGTCTTCTTGAAGACCCATCTTATGCAAAACTCTTGTTGACATTTTGTATTAAGTGATGTTTAAAAGAAAAAAATTNGGTGGCACGTCTCGGTCTTCTTGAAGACCCATCTTACGCAAAACTCTTGTTGACATTTTGTATTAAGTGATGTTTAAAAGAGTTTCTTTAAATTTTTAATACTGTAAAAATAATTATAGTTTTTTTCTGCGAATAATTTTTTGTTTTGCTATATCCTATAGTGGATAAATGCTGAAAATGGTTGATTTTTAATTAAATTAATTGATTCAATTTAACAAATACAATTCTTAATGCCACAACTCACAAGTGTTGATTCAACTTTTTATCTTATCACGTAAAACAACTGTAATTTAATGGTTAGGGAATTAAATTAGTATATACAGTATGACCTTATACAATATTCTAGTTTATATTACAGTTAGAATAATACTATACCATGATACAAAAACAATGCATGCGTCATTTTGTCGATTTTCACGGAAACTGAAACGTTTTTGTAGTTTTTATAAGTATTCATATAGCTTCGATATGGCTAAAGTTGAAGAAAAAACAAATAAGTTCCAATTGAAGACGCCAAAGGGTACAAGAGATTATGGTCCTGAACACACAGCAGTAAGAAATGATGTTTTAAATCGAATTACAGAGGTTTTCAAACGTCATGGTGCTGTAAACATAGACACTCCAATTTTTGAACTCAAAGAAGTACTTACTGGCAAGTATGGCGAAGACTCGAAACTTATATATGATTTAGCTGATCAGGGTGGCGAGTCTTTATCATTAAGATATGACTTAACAGTACCTTTTGCTCGATACTTAGCTATGAACAAAATTAGCAATATTAAACGATACCAAATTGCCAAAGTATATAGAAGGGATAACCCTGCCATGACTAGGGGACGATACAGAGAGTTTTATCAGTGTGATTATGACATTGCGGGTCAGTATGATGATATGATTCCTGAAGCTGAATGTGTTTTTGTAGCAACAGAAATTTTGTCAACATTAGATGCTGGTAAATTTAAAGTTAAAGTTAATCATAGACTTCTACTTGATGGGCTGTTTGAAGCTTGTGGTGTTCCATTTGACAAATTTAGAACAATGTGTTCTTCAGTTGATAAATTAGATAAGGTATCTTGGGAAGAAGTTAAAAAAGAAATGGTAGAAGAAAAAGGATTAGAAGAAAAAATTGCTGATCAAATTGGAATTTATGTCAGAATGAATGGATCAACTGAATTAATTGAAGCACTCATTAAAGATGATTTACTAACAGCATCTAAATTATCTGTGCAGGGTTTAGAATCTTTAAAACTGTTTTTCGAATATATCAAACAATTGGGTATTGATAATCTTGTATCATTTGATTTGAGTTTAGCCAGGGGCTTAGATTATTATACAGGGATAATTTATGAAGTAGTATTGTTAGAAAAAGGTGAATCAATTGGAAGTGTAGCTGGAGGTGGTCGATATGATAATTTAGTTGGAATGTTCCATCCTAAAAATAAAACAATTCCTTGTGTTGGTATATCTATTGGGGTTGAACGTTTGTTCACTGTACTTGAAGCTAAATATGCCAAAGAAAACCAAAAGATACGCACAAATGAAGTTCAAGTTTATGTGGCTACTGCTCAAAAAAATTTAGTTAATTATAGATTAAATATTTGCAAAGACCTATGGAATGCTGGGATAAAAGCAGAACAATCGTATAAAACTAATCCTAAGCTACTAGTTCAATTACAGCATTGCGAAGAAAATGAAATTCCATGGGCTGTTGTTATAGGCGATAGTGAAATACAAAGAGGTGTTGTGAAATTAAGAAATGTTGTAACTCGACAAGAAGAAGAATTGAAAAAGGAAGATCTTGTAGAAGAAATATTTAAAAGATTGTCTATAAAAAAATAATATTTTTGCTATCATGAGTTGTATTTTCTTTGGTTCCTTACATTTTTTTACCAAAATGTCCAATTCATTTTAGTTAAATAAAACTGTTACTAGTGTGACGGATATTAATTTTTGTTTTGTATCATTACCTATTTTATTTTAAGTGCATAAATCACAAAAGTTTATTTTTGTTACAATTTAGTAAATTACATTAATTACTCTTAATATGTTATTTGAGTATAATTTTTTTTTTTTGTAATAGATGTACAGTTTAACAATTGTAAATTGTTAATTTTCATTGAGAGTTGTAAATTCTACAACTTTAAAAATCATGTACAGCTTATTTTTGTAATAAAAGTATAAAGTATACACGTTGGACTGTACACAATATACTTATAAAGTGAAGAGGTTAAGGATCCATTAGAGTATTTTTCCTTTAGATAAAATATAAATTTGAATAACCAATTGAATATAAATAGACATATACATTAATTCTTTTATACATATACTTTTATGATTATATTAGTACCAAAGTTGTAGAGGAAACATAATAATAGATTTTAATTATTTATTGAGACAAGAAAAAATTGATAATTTATTATTTTATTTTTAGACATCAAAAACTTACATTATGTGTATTTAGGGTTGTTTAAATAATAATTTGGCTTTCTTATCCAGGGCCTAATGCGTCATTGAGATTGTTGTAATGTTTGCATTTGATTTGGCTTGTTGGTAGTTAGGACGTTTGAAAAAATTATTATTAATGGAGTTAACATTAGCATATTTGCAAATGCTGCACTCATTGAGTAACTTAAGATGATCATATGTAATTTTTCTAAAATTTTAGAGGAATCAAGTTCTCAAATTTGTGCCTATGTAACTAGGGCTATATTTATGGAGGCTTAAGTAAGCACATTCTTGAGGATGGCATTTACTAAAATGACCTTTGTGTTTTCTCACTTTCATTAAAAAATTGTTAGTTTTTTTAGGATCTGCAAAATCATGCTTTTCCAGGACGTAAAATCTTGTATAATACTTAATAAAAAATTGGAAACATTCTTCAAAGTTGAATAATGTCTATTGCAATATCTATGAAAAAAGATATAACATACACATAAATAGTATTTTCAAACAAAACTTGCAAGTCAATGTGTATAATTAATTTACAATTTTTATTATAATAAATTAAGTAACTTTTAAAAAAATATAAAACATGAAAAAATTATAAATGTATAAAAATCAATATATAAATATAATTAAAACTTTTAGCATAAATTTAAATAGTTTACTTGGTTAATAGAACATTTTATTTACAAAATTTCCAATTATTTAACCTAGTGTGTTAAAAAATTGATATTAACTGATCACAACAAAATTTCAACAAAAAAAAAAGTTACTCTAATAATCAAGTTTTTAAACATATTAACTTTAATGAAATAACCTTTATTATTAATATTACTTAATTTTAATTAAAATTGTATTAGAACTTAAAGAAAAGTAACAGTTTTTCATGATTAATAGTTACATAATTTTATTGAAAAATATATTATTTTAATAATCTAAGTACAGATATTATATACAATTAAAAATAGATAATAAAACAGTAACATACATAAAAAAAAAGAATGATACAATCAGCACATTAAAAATTTAAGTAAATTACCTATCGAGTTTGTTACATTAATATTTATTACAGGTGCCTATATCAAATGTTAAAAAAAAAATAAAATTCCAAATATGAAAAAATAAAATAACAGTACAATATTACCATACTATAAAATAAAATACACAATTACTTATTTCTTTTGAAATAAATACTCATTCACAGTTTTTGTCATTTAGTTATATTTTTGAAAATAAAAGATTCTCTAAAATTTAACATTTTACTTCGATTTTTTATGATGGATGCCAATTAGTACCAAATCCACATGCTGTGTCAGAGTCAGAATCACCTGTAGTATCAGATTTTCTTTTTTCAGGCGATCTCTCAGTTGGAGCTGAAGCCCTTCTTAAGTAGTCTTGTGGTTTCTTTGATTTTCTTTTTTTGATTGAAACACTTTTAGGAGGGGGCATTCTTTTTGCATCATTCTAAACAAATTTATTGTAAAAAACAAATTTATAAGATAGATATAAAATTAAAAATTTGAAATTTCACAAAATTAATATTGTTTTTGTAAAATAATTCAACCTGTAAGTTGTCTGCTGAGCCCCATGTTTTATGAATTTTTTCAGTATTTTGCCCTCCAACTCCCAAAAAATGGCTGAAGGCTTCTGTGGTACGTTTAACCCGTACATTCAAGGAACCGATTCTCAAAAATCCTAAATCTTTCTCTATATTATATTAAAATAAACTGTTAATAAAGCAAGTACCACCAATTTAAAATCACAACACAACAAACTAACTACATAATAATTAGAGTAAGCAGGTTGAGACTTAATTACATACAGCTTACCTGCATTTTTGTGTTTCCGAGCGTTTAATTCTGCAAATAAACAAATTGTAAAGTAATAAAATTCACACTAATATTAACTGGTGTATAAAAATATGAGTTATGGCCATGACGTCATGAAATTTCTTAGTGGCAAACATTTAAAACAGCTTTAAAAACCCTACATATAAGATCCTAATTTATTAGAGTACTACTGTCTACTGTCACTACTACTCTACAATACCATCACCCACTTTTGAGTTAAAAATAAAAGTCACAAGTTTAAAAATTCTACCACTTATCATGCAGCATTAAATTAAAGACACAAGCAGTTTAACTTAAAAAATAGAAACTACAAACATCGCTCTTTTAAGTTTTACTTGCCTTTCCTCAGCCAGTAATAATCCTATAAGCAAAAAATAACAGTTTAAAATTTGTTTAATTTATCTTAAACTAGTATATAAAATAACAATGATGGCCTATTTATAATATAATATTTAGCATAATAAAATTAAATTGATAACAAAATAATGGTTTTAATAAATCAATCATAAACATAGGATTAACAGACTTATGTTTAAAATATATATATATTTTTTTACTACTACACAAGCAAAAACAATATTTTATTGCTTATATACAAATCAATATTTTAATTTTGTTGTAAAATTTATAGGATAAAATTTATAAATAGTATATGTTGATTTTACAAAAATTGAAAAGTTCAACATAAAGTAAAAATAAATATCATAATAACAAAATTAAATTAATTTTGAATTAATGAAAAAAATGTTTTCTACTGACATTGCAATCATAATTGATCATAGACACCAATACACTATGAGAAATACGAGTATGGATTTTTCATTTTTATTAGCAGTGGCTCAGCCTAAATTAAATTTCAGGGGTGATTTACAAATCTCTAACCCTTCTACTTGGCTGAACCACTGATAACACTAGTTTACAAATAAAAAAAAATTTTCTGACCTATGACTTATGATAGTCATTTTTTATGTAAAATCGTCCACTGAGTCCGAAAATGAAGTCCAAAATACAAAAAGTAGAACAGTTTTTGAGTTATTGCGAAATNATTTTAGGAAATTTGTTTTATTTTTCAATCGCGCATAACTTCTTCATTTTTTTATCAATTTTACAAAATAATATATCATTTTCTTTGTTATGTATTAGAGTATAACGTCTATTAAAATTATTGTTGATAAATTTATTTTTTATTGGTGTATTTTACGTAAAACTCTGAATTTTTTCTGACATTTTGAAAAAAATGATAAAAATTCAGTGGTAAATTCGTGGATAGCAAACGACAAAAAAGTCAAATAAAAAATTGTTTAAAATAAAAGTTATAGGTAATTTAATATTGTTTAATTTTATGTAAAAAAAATGAAAATCGGTTGAATGCAATTAAAGATATTTAGAATATAATGAAAACGTTTTTTCGCGGTACACGAAAAACGCTAATTTCGCAATAACTCAAAAACTGTTCTACTTTTTGTATTTTGGATTTTACATAAAAAATGACTATCATAAGTCATAGGTCAATTTTGTTGTAAACTAGTGTAATTGATATAACAAATAAAACATGAAAGTAGTGTGCTTAAAGCTATATGATATTTTAACGTATATTAATAATAAAGTACAACTTAATTCAATCACCAGAATAAAATAAGTTAATTGATATTAAGCTATAATATGATAAATGGAGAAATAAAAATAATTAGTTAACAATAAAAAAATTACTATAATTGAAAACAATAGACATTTACCTAAAGCACATGCATAAGTAAGATAAATATATTTCGTGCAACGACACATCAACAGTATAAATTGTGTTGAACTATTATTATTAAATACATAAATAATAAATTTGTAATAAATAAAATATTGAAGTTTGATAGCTTATTGTAAGTCATTTTATAAGTTGTGAATTAATCTATTGCAATTAATAAAAATATCATTATATTGGTTTACAAGTAATAAAATACTAGAATTATATTAAAAAATAATTGGTCAGAAAAAACTAACCAAGTCATAAGTATATTTTACAAAATTAATTTAAATTTATTTTTATATTAAAATTAATCTTTTTAACATGAAATGTAAATGCTTTGTAAAAGAGTATTTATTGAAATCGTGATGAAGAAAACACAATAAAATTTATAGTCATGAAAGAATATTAAAAATTGACTAGACTTGAAGTAAGAGATGTTTATGTTAAATTCGTTTTATAGCATAGTGATGATACAAGGAAGGCTGTTGGCGTGATTTAAAGTGTTTTTCTTTCATGCATTTAGATGAATTGGTAACATGCGAAAATGATAAGGATGACAGGACGTTGATGGTTTTATTGCGACGCTTTGGCCTAGGCAAGGAGTTGAACAGGAATTTTGTTTTTTCACAAGTATACTCACTGCGGTACGTGTCTGCTGATAGGCTAGTGTCTTTATTTGTCTGATACTGCCTAGGCTTACGACCGCTCCAGTCGCGCACATTTGGATCGGCTCCTATATGAAATATAAAAATAATAAAGAATTAAAAAAATCAATTTATTTCTTTTAAGAAATCAATGTTTTATTAACATGAACGATGATTATTGACACGCCTAGGAAAAAAAATTTGAGGGTGATAAATTAATTTTTCGTCAACAAAATAAATAAATTTATTTGCATAAGGTTTAAGTTCAAGTTGCGTAATATGCCATCGTGTGAAATAATTTTTGAATCATTTAGTTACATTAAGAGTCGGAAGAAAAACTGCGAACTTTTATCTATTGTTCATAAGTTTTTCACCTCTCTTAAGTATAATCGAATTTGGTTATTCATAATAATAATATTATTTTTGTTTCGTAATTTTTTAGAATTATTTTTATAAAACACATTATTTAGCTTAGGCGTATTATTTAAGGCGATTAACTAATAATTTAGCTAATTAAATAAAATATAATTTTGTATTTTTAAGTTTAATCTTAATTGTTTAGATTTCACCATTTTCACCTTTTCTAAACGACATATTATGTTAGTATGTTAAAAATTAGAAAATTTTAAACAATAAATAAATAATATTGTACCAATAAATATACAAATTAAATTAACACATTATGATTACCATAAGACTCTACTAGTATTTTGTAAACTTCCTCGTGGCCAAACTGCATTGCAATATGACAAGGTGTATGTCCCTGTATTATAAAATGATAATAATTATTAGATATATCAATAGAATATTAAATACAGAGAATGATCAAAACAGACTGGACTGATGCAGAAATTAGGGTTTACTGTCCATATAATACACAATTATAAAATTAATTAAAATTATGAAAAGAAAACCATAAAAATATGTGTTGTAGATTTATTATCATTTGATCATATGCAACTTTTAAATGAATATTTTTATAAATTGAAAAGACATTTTGAGTGTTTTTATTCCAAGTTCTATTTTGATTTTGCATTAATATTATACAAAAGACTACCATTCAGATGAACAGCATTTACGATAGAAATAGGGTGACAAAAGAGTGTATAAATTATACTTAACGCAAGTGTTATTTAATTCGTTGTGTCCCCATATACCACGAAGTGTCAACGTAGAAGGGTTTATTCAATATATTTTATGGAAATAATAAAGTGTCATGAAGGGGTCAGCGAGTGGTTCATACGATTTGTCTCGCACACTTTTTGATTTTTCAATCGTTTCATAAACGATTCATGGATACAATTAAATTGCAAACAGATGTCGTCAGCTCAGTGGAATATAAGAGCTATTGAATGAAAGCAAAACAATAAGACAGAGGATAGCAACGTCAAGGGTTATGTAAAAAATAAAAATGACACAAAGGTTTAAATTTCTCTCCAAACATTGGTAGCCGTTCGTCACACTTCTCAATATTGAATGTTTTTTAATAGCCCAGTCATTTAAATCATTCTCGACTGTAAAAATATATTAATTTTACTTACACTGTTCTATAATTGTAATTTGTATCAATTGTCCCAGTACATAAAAAAAAAAAAAAAATTAACACGATTAAGTATAGCATAATTTAATTGAAATAAAATTATTTCCATAATTTAATATAACAACACCATTTATAGTAGTCTTCATAACATTCCTGACTTGATAAGCAGCGTTTATAAAGATTAGACCTAATACTCTTATAAACTTTTATAAATGTACAAATCTTCTCATAAATAATCAACTATCTATTATAGGGGTAGGCAATTAGTTTGTATAGCAGGCCAGATGGTTAACAACATTTTTTTTTTTTTGAACAAAAAAAAAAGACAAGTACAGTCCATAAATTTATTAAAATTGGATAAAAATAAAAATGTATATATATATATATATAAGTTGTATATATACTTATATATACAATATATATAAAATAAAAAATATACTGTGTCTATTAGGCCAATTTTTTGAAATTTTTTTACCCTCTGATATTCAATAAAGAAATGAATCATCAATAAAAAAAGTACAATGCACGAATAAGATAACTTCATTTTTAAATTTTTTTTTCATAATAAAATATTTACACAAATAATAGGAATATAGAACTCATTTATGTATCGAATTACGCATAAAAGTCATATTTATTCAAAACTAATAAAAAATAATTTTCTAAAAAAATTATCTGGTTGCTGCATTATATTACCTACGTCAATCAAGCAAGTTGCTCTAGATATACAGATACAATAATAGAAATGAAAAATACAACAACTGGTGTTGAATATTTTTAGAATTTGTAGCAATTTATTTTCCCGTGAAGTGTCAGATTTTATTACAAATTAAAAAAAAATTATACGTTACAAAATTATTATTGTAAAATATTTAATGTAAAGTATTTGCAGAATACTAGAAATATTACAATATGAATGTTATCATACAGACATTAAACGTTTGCCTTATAACCTAATCTTAAAATTAAAATGTAAAGCTTAGGGCTGTATAACAAATAATTTTTGTGATTCCCTGAAGGTAAAATAACTGTAGCATTTTTATCTACTAAATGATTGAAACTTACACGACTGTAGATATGATAATAATAGTTTTCAGTAATCGAGAATTTTGAGGGATGTACATTTATTTTAAATACCAACATATTAATGCTAAAAATATATTTTTCAAGTATTTGGCGTTTTGTAATTTTTAATATATTTGAGGATATATAAAGAAGAATATTACAATGAAAAATGTTAGTATTTCAAATTTTTGGGAGCCAACTTTGATTCTTTTGTGTTGAGTATTATGTTTTATTTAATAAATAAAATATAAAATGATTTTTAATTTGATATAATGATGTAAAAATTATTTATAGTAATATTCGAAAATGAATTCTACCCAAGTATGATGATAATAAAACATTAGGGCTATAAACTATGATTAAAATTATTGTAATATGAGATAATTTTTTAAGTTAAAGTAGGAAAAAACCGAGTAAACAAATTATTATAAACCGTGAACTAGGTAAAAGCAGTCTTAAAAAAGAAAGATGGGCACCCAGTAATTACTCGAAAGCAGGGTACTGGGCACTTTTCTACTACATACTAACTGTATGTATTAAAGTACTTGTAACTCAACAAGTACTTATCCTAAATTTATTATCGTTTCATCAAAAAAATTTTAAAATTTTGAAAAAAAAAAAAGAAAATGAAAATATTTTTTTCTTATTAAAAACATTTAATAAAAAATATAATTTTAATGTAGTTCCAAAGTGAAAAATTATTAAAAATAAAAATCCAGCACAAAGTAGTTGTGATATAGTGAGTTATTTGGGGCAACTATATATGTAACAGTCATTAAAATGATTGACATACATAAAAAACACTTTGATGTAGATCTGCAGATAGTGTTTATTTTTTAGAAGGAATTATTGAATTATTCCAAAAGTAACATGAGTACCTACTTTTTTAATTATATCATGATTAAAAATTTTAAGAATTATAAGCATTATAAACAAAAAATGATTTTTCAATGAAATAAAAATAATATTGATAATTTTACGATCTTCTTACAGACGACTCATATAGCGATTATATTTCATACTCAATATAAATATTTTGAGTATAAAAAAGTTTTTTTTGTATATTTCCATAAAAAATTTTAAAAAAATAGCCCTAATTTAAAATAAAATATTTTATAAATATAATCAATTCATTAAAGGGTAATAAATAAAGGTAAATAATTTAAATTTGCTTAAAATTAGTTGAGTTTTTCTTACAAAAAATTATTAAATTTAATTGTTTCAATGTTTCTAAATTGGAATATGGTTTACTTCGAAACATTATTTTTTGTAGAGTGTCGTGTAAATAAATATAAAACAAATAATTGAGATTTAGCAAAATGTAAGAAACATTTTTTTTATAATTTTTTGATATTTATTATTTATTTTTATACAAAATTTTTGCTTTTTTCGTAAAATTCGTTTAGGTTGGAACAAAATTTTGTTACTCTTTGAATAATTATTTTAGACTGTCTAATAAATATCAACTTCTTGAATAGAAATTGTATATATTAACACTAAAGGTAAATTTTCCACACCAATTTATTTTAATCCGTTAACAATTGAAAGTAGTATGAAACCACTAGTAGAGATTTTCATTGTTTCATTTAAATATATCTAAATTGGTCTTAAAATTTTTTAACTTATAAATTTTAAACTTCATAAAAATGTAAAATAAAAGAAAAAACACATTGTGAGGATACCCACAAATATCGCTTAGGATGTATAAATTTTATTGAACTATTCAATACTTCAATGGTTATAAAATATAATTGCATATGTAATTATGAAGTTATTTAGTATCAAAATTACTGTATAGGGCGATTGACTGACTATGCCTCACGAATTTTCTTTAAAAATATTAGTGTTATCACATATGTGATTATTTTATTTGTTAAAACCTTGACAAGAAAAATAAAGATTCAATCTTCATCCCTGAACCCTTAAATCAATATCAAGTTTAGTTTTTCAAATAGTAACCTAGATTTTTTTTATTAATCTTAATTAGCATAAAAAAAATTTTTTTTTTAAAAAGAATCAATTTTTATATACTCTAAACGCGATATCACTACTTAATGTTTAGGGAATTTAACAAATAAAACAGTATTCGGGTAAATATAGAAACATTAATATTTAGTGTAACAATAAGAACTATCGGTGTATTGTATTTAAAACAGATCACCATATGGTTCATAGTAAAGCCACAAATTCACTGACTTGGGTTTTATTATCAACCGGCAGACCTCTGCGAGGGAGTTTTCGTTGGCGACCTGTACAGTTCCTGTTTTGTACAATCACAATAGTAATACTATTACTATTAACCAGAAGCAATTATCGATTTAGGACCCATAAAACTTGTGCGTCTTTTATGAATCAACGTTAATAATACTTACGTCCCCTAAACTTTAATAAATCATAGCTCGCTGTAATTGAATTAATTAGAAAATATTTTTTTAGAACATTTTTTTTTAAACTAAATCTAATCTAGTTATATAAAAAATAAATAGGATAACCATTTGAAAATTGAAAGTTGATACTGATTTAAAGCATAAGGGATGATCATAAAAATGTAATTTTATTCACTGAGAAGCCTAAGATAGAAACATAATATTTCACAAAAAACAAAAAAGGATAACTCTTACATTTTCAGAGTTAATTTGTGAGGAATAGTTAATCAATCACTCTGAACATATGAGTGTATATCAGACCTTAATTATAATACTTATAACTTTTAATACAATTATCATTTTTTTAAAAATAATTATTCCCTTCATACACTAAACTCATAGTCTAATTTTTATAATTTATCAATAATAAGAAAAAAATTTATATTTTATTCAAAATTTTGAAATAATCTGGGATATTTTAAAAGAAATCGTTATTTCTTAGAAAAAAATTTAATAATTTAATTTCATACATAGATTATGCTTGGATAGCGAACAAATTATAAGCACACCAATACAAGCAGCATCCACCTTCACTATACACCCAATATCTTTGTATTAAAAGACTTGTTCTAAAATTATTATCGATTCCCTAAAATTTTTTGTAAGAAGAGGCAATTTTAAAGTTTAAAAAAGTAGACTATTCTCAAATTACTCTGCTTTATTTTTATAATAGTGATTTTAATCGCTGTCAGATAACATTATACTTGACCCAACTATGCTACGTCTCCACTAAACCACGACCCCCCCACTGTGCTGGCGTTTTTTTTAGTTGATATCATATTTTAGTAATAAAATGGATTCCATTATAGACTTTTTTAATTACATTACTCATAATTTAATTTTTTTTTTGATCGAATATGCAATTTTCAAAATTGACAAATGTGCAAAAATAAAAGTTTTAATTAAAAAAATATTATAAATAGGAATAGAGCAAACAGTGATAGGATGTCTTATTATATTTCTCAATAATAAATATAATCTTATAGAAAATAATGATCCATAGTTTTACTTCTATATCTCCGAATTTTTTGAAATATTTAGAAAAATATTAAGAGTTTATACACAATTTTTTGGTTTTATTTTTCTGGGGTTTCTTTTTGTGTGTTACTAAGCATCATAACTCCATTTCTAATAAACCGAATTTTTTCTAGAATATGTCAAAAAATTACAAAACAAATTTAGTTAAAACAACCAGGACCATACTTTAGAAAATGTCTCCTCTATACTAAAAATCAAGGAAAATGTCCCAAAAAAGTTGTTACAAATACTCAATGTTGATGTTTTTTTTATTCAATTATTATTGAAAAAATTTCCGAAAACTGGGAGTATAAATGCGAACATTTTTTTGATTATACTACAGACAAGTTACACGTTAATATATACTAATTTTTTTAAGAGCTATTATTAAATAATGTTATGATTTCTTTCAAAATGTTTGGGACTGTATTAAATTAAAATCATTTTCTGTACTATCTATACAAGAAATCTAAAAAAATTTAACTTCTGGTTTGTATTTAGAGATTTTCGATATAGAAGTAAAATAATAAATAAAAATGTAACAAAAATTTTTTTTTTAATTATTGAAATCAACACGGTTTTGACTTCATAGGAAACATCAAGCATTGTTTCTAATTCGAAATAAATAACACAATTCATCTAGTAAGATTATATTAAAATACGAGTTCCATTATTATAGATAATTTATAGATAAATTTATAAAAACTTGGAGATAATATCGCAAAGTGTTATTTACCTAATTATTTAATATCAAAAAAATAAAAATACATTAGTGATACCTTAGTTTAGTGGGAGAAATATCTCTATAATGTATATGATTAAGAGACAATAAAATTAATGAATTAAACTTCGAAAGTAATTATTTTTAAAACCATTTAAGGAAGAAAAATTTGAATGTTATTACATATAAGATCATGATTTGTGAAGCACGATAAAATTGTATAAGATAATAATATTGTGTTTTATTCCACACATCTTATGAGTAGTAATTTCAAAAAGATTTATAGTTAAGTTGTTTAATAATTATTTAAATACTTAGCAATAATAAGAATTATCTCGAAATTATTCATTACGATATTTTTTTATTTAAATGAATATCCATTAAATAACAAGATTTTTTAAGTATTATAAGATGTAATTGATCTTTCATTTTAAATTTCGTCATATTTTACTATTTTTAGAAAAATATTATGTTTTACAGTATAATTTGCGTGTACGCTCAATATATGATGTAAAAAAGCAAATACATATTTATATTTCATAATATATTAACGTGTAAAAAAAAAATAGAATTATATGATTTACAAAGCGTATGAAAAAGATTGATTATATTGAATTTTACAAAACAATTGTAATTTATGTATTGGCCTTATTTTAACAATAAAATGTCAATAAGAATATAGTATTTAAGAGTTAAATTTTGTAGAGTAATTAAAGATTTCATTTATTTAAAATTTGTTTTAAGTAATATTATTTTGTTTCTACATTTTGCTACAATCATTGAATATGACTTTTCAAATCAGAAAGGTATTTATCATTTTATGCAGTTTAATATCAGTAATGACTTCTCCTTCAACAATAGAAAACAATGAAGAAGCTAGTTCATCAACGGTAATTTTATTTCTATTTTATTAATATTGATAAATTTCAATTCAATACATTAAAACTAATAATATCATGTAATGAAATTGATGAAATATAATATTTTAAAATTTGTATTAATTAAATTATATAATTCAATCTTATTTCGAATATTTCTTTCATTCACATATTACACTATGCAACGTAAATGTATTGATTACGTCGTAGATGACACAAAAACTTAATTCTTATACTTACTGTTAAAATTATTGTTTATACATAGAGCGAGTCAAAAATATATGACAAATCTAGTAACTATTGAATAAATAATCATTGTACAGTAATTTTTAACTTAGATTTGAAGCTGAGAAAGTATTAATTTTACCGTGAAGTATTTATTTTTATTATTTTGTGTCAATCAACACTTTCTTTTCTTCTATAAGTCCAATTCCCCCAAAAATTGTTGAATATGTAAATCGGTATAATGACTTTTTGAGATATTTGTTTTAATTTCTAAAATTAAGGGGTTTTTTCAATATTTGGCGACTAAAAGTTCAATTAGATAATAATTAATAAATTACAAAGTTAAATTATTCAACAAGGTAGTTAAAATTATTGATTATTAAAATTATTTCAAGGTTTGATACTATTATATCAAACCTTATTTGAAAATATATACTTAAAAAACAGTAGAAATGAATGATATTTATTGACTTTGTATCCCGAGAGTTAATGAGTTTAATTGAATATGGAGAAATTTGATTTGAATCTTTATATTTGATAGATGGGAATTTTTTTCAATTGTTGAGGGTAATATCTTTAACTAGATACAATTTGTCATCATTTGACGTATTGTTGAAAAAAATTGGTCAAGTGAGAGTTAAGAAAAATTAAAGATAGACACCAAAAAAACCACATTAATACTTTTAATATGATTTTTGTACGTATCGTTGAAGGAAATTAGTTCGATGAAAACTGGGAAATATTACAGTAAAATCATATCATTAAAATGGTATTATTTGATTATTATATACTAATAAATATTTTTCTAGACCAAATTTTTACGCTGATTTTAAATCTGAAATTAGATCTCCTCTTTTATGAGATCATTTATAATTAGAAAACGAGTTTTAATATATAAATGAGTATTTATATTATAAATACTCATTAAATTTATTATAATAAATTAAAATAATTAAGTAAAAAAAATGTTATATTTATTTTTAATATGTTAAAAATGAATTGTGCGAAAATTCTATTCAAAATGTAATACATAACCTATATTTTTGGTCATTCAAAATTCATTTTTATGAAAGTTAATAATTAAAAAATGTTGAACTTTTAAACACTATTTTAGCTTGATTTGAAAGTTGAAATTTGATACCATTAAACAGAAAATTTTATGAGGATTTAAAAAATCGTATTTTTTTTAGTATGATATGTGTTTAGGAAGTTTAGTAAAATTACTAAATAGTAATTAGTCGAATTATTTAGTAAAATTTTCTATTTAATCATGTCATATCTAACTTGCAAGTTGAGCTAAAAAAAAAAAATTATGGTAAAAATTTCAATCTACTTTATTGAACATTATTAATTTTAAACTTTAAAGGATCGAAATAATTGGTGAAAAAAGATATTTTGAACTGAAATTTTCATGGATTATTTTTCACATATTTCAGTTAAAATCAATAATAATTTGAAAAGAAATTTTGTTTTTGTTTTTAATATATTTTTTATGTGTAAATACTCGTCTTTTATCATTTAGTAATATCATCAATTATTTATAATTGAGTAATAATTAATAAGATTCAATTGAATTTCAGATTTGAAATCAGGGCAAAACTGGGTTTAGAAAAGTATATATTGGTCTAGGAAGGGAATTCCTTGTAGACCAGTGAATTTATTAATAAATAACAAACAATTTTTTTTTAAGTATTGCATCAAGACTTTAAATTTTTATATACGTTTGCAATAAAAGTAATAACTACTTTATAATTTTTTATAATTTCTCCGTAAAAATTACAATATTATAATACTATTTTACTGTGATAACGTTTTTATTTTTAACAATTTTTGAATTTTTATACTTATATTAAATCATAATTTGTATTATTTCCTACTAATAGTACTTGTGTATGTGTACTACTTTTGCGTTACACGTCTAATCTATTTATTTAAATACTTGTAATTTTAAAAGCTTTTAACCTAAAGTTGTTATAAACTCATCAAAATTGCTTGTAAAAGTAGGCTAAAAAATAACTTATTTTGATTTCAAATTAATTAAAAATTCATAAATAAATATTTTTTTTTATATTAGACATAAATAATTAAAATAATTTTCCTATTAACATAGTTTATAAATACAAAAATTGTTAAAAAATTAAAATGACATGATTATTTGCAAAAATTAATATTTTTTGTATTATTTAATAAGTATATTATGTTTTGTTCAATATTAGTCAAATAATAGATAAACTTAAATTAATTTGACAACTCTTTTTTTAAATTAATACAATTGTGTTTAACTATTTAGATCGATATTGAATCCCAAAATGTTTACAATGAACTTAAGAAAATATATAATCAGTTAATAGTTAAATACCCATCAAAAAAAGATAAATTATCAGCAAAATATACAAAACTATATACGGATTCAATGATAGTTAGAGCTATGATTCTTAATGATAATGATTTAATCAAACAAATACTAAATGAATGTAAAAGTAATAGTCAATTTATATTTACATAAAAAAAATTAGTGTAATATATAAACTGCAATCAAATAATAAATGTTCAATTAAAAAAACTTCTTTTATGTGTTTAGAAAAAATATATTTGTTTAATTTCCTAATATTTATATAAAAATTATATAAAATAATTATTATTATGTTTTCAGAACTAGGAGATAATCTAGACTTTATAAAATATGGTACTATAGTCAAGGATATTATGGAAGAAAGATTAAAAGATCCATTGAGTTTGCATTGTTATTTAAATAATGATGAAATATTGATGAAAATTTTTGAATATTATTCTAATTATTCAAAATACGTTTCAATGTCAGTATTTTTAGATTTTTTGAAAAATGAAAGACTACTGGAAGAGAATGAATTATACAATAATATAGTTGACCAATTAAATTTACAAAGTAAATATTTAATACTATTTAAAAGAGAAAAATTTGAATATTATTACATATAAAATTATAATTTGTGATGCACGATAAAATTCTATAAAATAATATTATGTTTTATTTTACACAACATATGAGTAATAATACCGAAAAATTTTCATTGCAAAGTAGTTTAATAATAATTTAACCTCTTTGCAATAATAATAATTTTCTCGAAATTATACATTACGATGTGATTTTGTAAACCTCTATTGGTAAAAAATTATTTTCAGATTTCTCTGAGATGATGAAACCTCATTTGCGAAGATATTTGGACAATATGGGAATAGTTCCAGATGCAAGATTTTTTAAATAAGTTTTTCTTTGTATGAATGTGTATCAATTACTAAAAATTTGTGTATTACATTTGAAAATCATAAAATATATGACTGTATTATAACAATATTACACCTCATAATAATTAATTTTTTAAATAAATTTTAATATTACTTAATGTTATAATAAAGATTATAAGATTGTCTATGATATTACACTATGAAAAGTTTTGAAAAAATTAATTTAACCATATTTTTACTTATTAAATGTTTTGTTGCTTTGTAAAAATAATTTTATTTAGTACAATTTCGTCCTTAGAGGTAAATTACAGATTCTGATAACAGTAACCAGGCTATGCCAGGCACGATACGTTTTTTACACTGAAGTATTACTTCACAAATAGTATAACAAAAAAAATTAACATTTAATTATAAAAATGAGTTATTAGAAGTTATTATCAACTTAAAGTAATTACTGGTGGCCAGGAGTGGATGATGCTATTTTTATCACAAGTCATTTCTGGTCCTACTCTTGATCACGCTTAGGTATAAAAATGAGAATAACTTATAAAGTACTAATACAAAAGTTGTTATCGACCAGTAATTTTCTTCATTAGATTATTGTCTATTATATAAGCTATTTAAATATGTATGTTACTATTTAAAAAAATTAAGTTGACACAATTTAAAGTTTTAAGGGATGATTATAAAAAGTAATTATTAGCTGATAAATCAAGAAATATATGCAACTAAAAGAAATCAAACATTTTTTTTCCAATATAGTATTTATTTTGAACGTAATCGAGTGTGCACACACAAAATGTGTCTAAATAAAATCTATGCGCAAATATTATCGCCATATATTATATTATATGAGCGCCAAAAAAAAAAAAGAAGCGAATAACTTGATCTAAACAAATAGATTTCAAGGAAAAATTTAGGGTACCTTTAAAATGTTTTAGCATTTGCTAATTTTCTAATGTTTTATTATATAAAATGATTTGTCAATTAATTAAAAAATTTGATGTGAAGTATACTTGGGAGTGACTTTTTTAATATATGTAGATGGAAGTATCTTCATTTAGTATATGTCGATGGTTTACCATTTAAAGTTTCCTATGTTAAAAATAATATAGTATAATAGTTGTTAGCCATACAAATTACTATAAAGTTCAATTTTGTTTTTGATTAAACATATTTTTTCATGTTTTCTTATTTTTTAACGTGCTCTCTAAAATTTTTTGCTATATTTTAATAATAATTATCTGTAAATGAAACAGCACCTCTCGTAGAGAATATAACAATTGGTCGTCATTGGTTATCACTAACTAACTCTTTGTTAATATAATATTTTGTTATTACAAATATTATGTGGTTCCATGACTATGACTCACGAAATATCTTCAAACATATTTGAGCTAATCATTATTATTATTATTTTTTTAACATTAATGGTTATTGGCTAAGTTATTATATAAGAAAAAATTATTTCATGCTACCATTTTTTCTAATCTATACTCGTATTAATTTTGAATTCACCAATGACAAATTCAATTTATTTTTATATTTACAGAAATATTTAATTGAAAAAATTGTTGTTTAAATTTGTTTTTAATTTTATTCTGACTAAATGTTGATTATTTGATTTTTATTAGTTAACTATAATCCATTAATGTAAAGTAGTTTCTTGTCCATAAGGACATTGACTATGGGAAACCACGTGATAGATATTTAATTATATGAAAATATTATATATTACATTATATAAAACAATTGTATCAGACATATGATACTAATATAAGATATTAATATTTAAATAAAGTTATTGAGTCTAATATCAAAATTTAATATATTAAAAACTACATTTCATCAAATTTTCAAAACATTTATATGATGTTGTGACAATGTGGCTCTAACATATTTCAAAATATATAAATTAAATACTATAAAAATTTGATTATAAAATTATTTTATCAATGTTCTATTTTTCTGAGATTTTTGAGTTATTGTGATAATGTGGTTACAATGCATTAAACATCCATGTTCAAATGAAACATACTTTTTATAATAGCAAGATATAATTTAATATTTTTTCGAAAATATATTATTCATTTTAAATAATAATTTTTATGGTTTATTTAAATAGTACTAATAGTTCAGAAGTAGAATAATAATCAACATGTTGACTACTTAAAGAAGTTGACAACAAGACAATTTTTTCTACAAAACAGATACATTAGTTGTTTTATCCCTGCAATACTATTAATAACCAAGAACATGATATTATAATTATTTTATAATTAATATACTGTTTAAAAATCAAAAATTTATTATTTTTATTTTATGAAAATTTACAAAATTATGACTTTTTTTTATAAAATAGGTTATATTGAATCAACAATTTTTTTTCTTTTATGAGTACAATTCAAAAATATAACGTCAATAGCATATGATTTTTTATTAAGATCAATAACTTCGTCTGTCACTACTTATTTCATGTCTCAACGGACAAATTTTATTTAACGATACATTAGAAGATCACAAATCATATCTAGTTAATAATATTGCACTCAAAATTTACATAATGTTTTCTGGTTCTCCGTAAATCAGAGAATTTTACCAAAAAACTACTGTTTTTAAAATGGATATTTTTTAAATTATAATTGTCATAACATTTAGAAAAATGAGAAATCAAAACAATTTTTTTTTTACAGATACATTAAGTATTTCCCTTTCAATAGGTGTATTTTTTTTGGAAATATGACCTTTTAATTGCAGGGAGATTCAAAATAGCAACTTTTGAACAAAAAGTTAAATTATTCTACTTAATTTTTGAATATGTTCCAGACATCTGGACACCTTTATACGTATCTAAATCAAATCTTATGCGATATACTTTATTATGAAAAAAAATTTGTCCTCAGAGATAGTCTTCATGGTCCAAACGACTACCATATTCAAAAATATAGTTTTATTTTTAACGATAAGAATAATCCATTAAAATAATCAAATAATTAAATTATTCTTTTTCTGATTTTTCAAATAATCAAATGATTTTGATAATTCAAAAATAATAATAAAAAAGCTTTTAAATGAAAATTGAAATATAAACTAGTTACTAGAGTAACTAAATTTTTGAATAAATTGCGTGATAAAAACATATTAATTTGATATCACAAAAATAATAATACTTTAGTTATACCTCAGTTAAATGGCAGAAATATCTCTATAATGTGTATGATTTAGAGATAATATAGTTAATGGATTAAATTTCGAAATTAATTATTTTATAAATCCATTTTATTATTGCATTTAAGATGATATTTGTGAAGCACGATAAAATTGTATTTTAAAATTGTTTCAAATTCTGTTTACACAACATGACAAATTTAGTTCAATTATATTAAAAATATGATTTCCATTAAAAGGCCAAATTTGATCGATAAATCATTGACTGAATAAAAGAAGACTTGAGTAATTGTTTGCCAAAAAACTCGAGACCAATCATAAAATCTAACCTAACATAGTTTTAGTTTACTAGTTTTTATTAATAACATTTTACAGAGCTATTAACATTATTTATAATTGTTTTGTATAATATAATGTATGTGTACGCTCAACGTATGATGATAAAAATGTAAATACAAAATTTATATTATTTTAATTTATTACCGAGAAAACAAGAATTATTTTACTTCAAAATGTATGAAAATTATTAATTATGTTGAATTAAAAAAAAAAAAACAATTTTATTTTATGATATGACTTTATTCTTAACTTTGAAATGTCAATAAGAAAATAGTATTTAATAGTTAAATTTTGTGGAGTAATTGAAGATTTTCCATATTTAAAATTTATTTGAATTAATATTATTTAGTTTCTGAATTTTGCTCTAATCATTTAAATATGCATTATAAAATGAGCAAAGTATTTATTATTCTATGTGGTATTTATTCATCCATCGCATTACCTTCGTGTTTAAGAATAAATAAAGAGGTAATTATACTTATATTTTCTTTACATTCATAGATTTTAGTTTATTACATTAAAACTAATAATATAATGTTATGAAATTTAATAATAGAACATTTTTATTAATTAAATTACATAATTGAACCTTATTTCGAATATTTCATTCATATTACACTATGCAATATAAATGTATCGATTACGTAGTAGCTGAACAAAAATTTAATTTTCATATTTTCTGTTAAAATATTGTTTTAATACAGCGTTAGACAAGAAGATATGACAAATCCAAAAACTTTTGAACAAATAATTTTACAGTAAATATTTTTAAACAATTTTGGCATTTTTATTCTATGCTAAAATGCAAGTAAATTAAAAAAATTCTTATTAACATAATTTAAAAATAGAAAAACTGTTAAAAAAAAACAAAAACAAAGCGAAATGTTCAATAGTTATACTAAAATTAAACAAATAGCACATTTTATATAATAATATAATATTTTTATTAAATTACACAGAATGAAGAACTGAAAAGTGTTTGCTTTGAGCTTAGGAAAGTTATGAATAAGGAGTTGTTTAGTAAACACAAATTAAATGAACCTCATGAATTAATTTTAAAAAGTATTATGGATAACACGATAATTAGAGCTATGATTCAAAATAAAAAATTATTAGTTGAAGAAATACTAAGTGAATGTAAATGTAATAATCACTTTGAATTTACATAAAAATGATTAGCGCAATAAGTAAAACTGCAACAAAATTATATTTGTTCAAAAAAAAATTTTTAATAGTATATAAAAAAATTATATTTGTCTAATTTCTATAAAAATGTTTATTCTTAGGGCTTTTAAAAATATGTGAAATAACAGATGTGATAAAATATATTGAACTATTTCAAGAGAAATTTAGAAAGGAACATTATGAGCTAAATTCTGTTGGTTATAACAAAAGTGTTGATGATATTTTGAAAATTATATTTATATATTATTCTGATGATTCAGAATTTATATCAACCAATGTATTTTTTAATTTGTTAAAAAGTTTTATTTTTGATCTGAATGACGAACAAATCATGAATAGTATACAACAGGTTAAAAACAAATGGAATAAATCAAAAGATAATACAAATGTAAATGATGACCAAATAAACTTCAAAAGTATTTATTTAAGAGTTTTTTTAAAATTATTTATAAGAGAATAATTTAAATATTATTACGTATAAAATGTTATTTTTGAAAGGAAGATAAAATAAGATAATAATGTGACGTTTTTTTCCACACATCTTATGAGTAGTAATTTCAAAAATCTTTATTGCTAAGTGATTTAATAATTATTTAATTACTTAGTAATAATAATAATTTTCTCGAAATTAACATTACAATATGATTTTGTTCTCTATTATTAAAGCAATTTTATTTTCAGGTTTTTCTACGTTGATGACATTTTATTTGGATGACTATTTGAAGAATACACTGCATTTAACTAATAATTCAAAATAACAAGATCTTTTAAATTTATATGATAATATTACTAGTTTCTTCTTCTTTTTTCTCGCCTTAATCCCAACTATTTGGGGTTGGCCACCTTTATCATAAACATTCACTTGACACGATCATCCACATCATCTACGCTGACATCAACCGTCCTCATATCGCTATTATTACTAGTTTGGATTTATAATATTTTATATATATATATATATATAGTAATAATAGCGATATGAGGACGGCTGATGTCAGCGTAGATGATGTGGATGATCGTGTCAAGTGAATGTTTATGATAAAGGTGGCCAACCCCAAATAGTTGGGATTAAGGCGAGAAAAAAGAAGAAGAAACTAGTAATATTATCATATAAATTTAAAAGATCTTGTTATTTTTAATTAAAAATTATAAAATTATTTATTATATATAATATTTTATTGTCACAAAATACTGTTAAAATAAATAAAATCTACAAAAAAATAAAAATATAATAGATTTATTTGATTTTTTAATCATCTACTATTTTTGAATCATAAATAAATGTTAGAAATAATCTTTTGATACTAATTTTCATTACATTTTTACTAGATTCAGTGAAAGAAAAAAAAAGAGCTTAAAAATATCACGCTAATGTATTATTATAATGTTCAAAGATTAAAATATACACATTAAAGTAATAATTTTGATTACAACAAAGCACCATCAGAATAACTATAGAATGCGCATAATTCTTAATGCCTTTAATTTTATTAGGATTATATATTTTATATTAAGCATATGATGCATGGCGACATGGATTTAACGGTAGCAGTCGTCGTCATCAGTTATATATATTATATTATATCAGACAACGATGCTATCATATCTAAAAAGTGAATCGATAGTTTCGAAAAACATATCGTCTAAGTGTACCCCGGGGCCCTATTGTCGTACCTATTGATTTAGATTAAGATTTTATACAGACTGCATCCAAATAATTGCTTATAAAATGTTAACTCATATAAGCGTTTCACGGGGAAAAATGAATACTACTATTATAATAATAGTAAAGATTTGGTTTGATAACTATTATTATCAAACCAAATCTTTGGGAAACAATTATTGTTATTGCTGATAATTATAAATGTATTCGTTACTATGACCGTGATAATAATGAATAATATATTTAAATACAATTTTTTATCTCAATACGTATCTAGTGGAAGTCTATAGTAAATACAATGGAATGTAATAATAACGCTACAATAAGTGCCCGAGGCAGATAATCTGTCTGAGGAATCCAAATAATTAGCAAATGCATAAATGTTTAAATAAAATAGATATTTAGTCTATAGCTTCAAAACGACAGAAATCCATTTCATGGATATTCATTCTGACTGTAGTGTTCACATTACTGGATATTATCATTTTTATTTTTAACTTACCGTTTTATCATTCACGTTTGCACCGTAAGTCCCTGCCAGCATTTTCACTAAATCCATATGACCATGTTTTGCTGCCCAATGTAATGCCGTCTAGAAACAGGAAGAGTTTATCATCATTTTGAAAAAGTAAAATTTTACACAAGTAATACTTGTATTGTTTTAAATACAATACGTATAGATATAGGGAAAATTTTATTGTAGTTATCCAACAGAATTAATTGATCTAGCATGCTGTTCTTTAATATGTTGGCTAGAGAAACAAATTTTCATTGGACATATAATACTTTTTTTTAAGTTAATAGTTTATAATATAATTTTATATTCATTGAGTGCAACTCGTATCAGCTGCACTCGCGTTCGTGACTACACCGGCGGTAGTTTTGTTTTGTTGGTAATTATTTTTTGTTTAATTTACACCTGTACTAATCAACCCTTTTAATGTGAAGTTATTGCAGCGGGGTGCGTCATCCTTAAACTATGAGATAGCTACTTATGTAAGTTTAAAGCCTCTTGGGACTATACTATATACAATTTTGTTCTGAATTAATACCAAACAATTATAAACATAAAACACGTAGTAGGTTTCACGGTACATAACAGTAGATGATATTGTTTAAAATTATTCAGTTAATGAACAAAAGGTACAGCTAAACTAAGACATGAAACATTCATCTAGCGACATTCATATTTTCAAATAGATTTAATGGCAAACTAGAAAATTAAGGGAGATTATAAAAATAACTTTGAGGTTATTTTACTCTAAAATATAATTAGAAATATAATATCGAAACATCATTAATTCCGTCACTCAAGAACGAATACAACTACAATTAAGCAAACAATTCCAATCCAGTTAATTATTTATGAGTACATTACACTCGATTACTGTTTTCATTTAAACACAACCGTAATAAAATAAAACTTTATTAAAGACAATATACATTGTTAATTGTTGTTGAAAACGTAAAAATTATTCATTCTGAACAATAAAAAATAATTGAAATTAATTTTCCCAGTTTGTAGTACTGTTTTTATTGCGTCAAATTCGAGTATATAAGAACGAAATTTATGTTTTACATGCTTACATTCGTACCTTGTACTTTTCTGGTCTCAAAAGCGCGTCGTTTTATAACACTCACAAGTACATCAACGTCCTACACTATTTTTATTTATATTTACTGTAATCAATTTGTCGTGTAACTGTGTTAAATGTTAATCGGATGGATATCATCGATTGTATAGGTAAAAGGTACGGTAAATAATTGAAAACGTCCATACCTACGGATTACACGGGTCGATTAAATGGAATAATGTATTATTATTTATTCAATAGGAACATGCAGATTATATAAACGTGTCCGAGTTAACTTTTACATGATTGTTATTTTTTTACTAACGCGCGTGGTAACAACCGAAATATTTTTTGGTTTTGAACAACGCATAATTCAACATTTAAAATAAAAGTGTATTCACTTAATGTACATTATGTGTAAAACAATAAAGCGAGACTACATTTGTCTTAAAAACCATAAATGGAACAAGATAATATTTGATTAAAACAAATTGGTCAGGGCAAATAAAAGTAATCAAATGGTTGCATTTGTATAAAAAGTATAAACGAAAAATCAATTTAAAAATGTTGACTTGGAAGATTATCAAGTCGTTCTGTTTTTAGATTGTGTAAATTTATCATTTTAGATAAATAATTAAACATTAAATTTATTAAGAAGTGGATTCGAAGTAATTAAACTGGACTGTTTCAGTTTTAATGCTGTCCATTCATCATTGGAGTGAGGGGCGAGGTGTATATAATAATTTAATGTTATCACTAGTGACAAACGCCGCCAAAATGCATGGCGTACGTAAATCATAACCAAAACATGTATTCTTAATGACACGACTCGTGTAAGCGCACGAGGCAATAAATAATTTCAAAAAAGATCTCATACACGATGTTTGGAGTTTAATTGCTCGCAAATATGTTTAAATTTTGCCAACATCTGTACACGTTTAGTTTAACAATAACTTTAAGACGATTTGGATTATACGGACTTTTACATCAAACGTAAAAAAATCCAACAATTTGAATATTTTTTAAAATAGCTGAAAATTAAAAATATATGATTTATTTCATTTTAAAATTCTCTCTTTATTGTTAAGCAAATTTTGTTCTCATAAAACTGTAATGAATTAACAAAGCGATTCGATAATGAGGTTTTATACGTCGAATTTTCACGGACAACTTTTAGTTGAGCGTTATCCGTGTGTTTGTAAGAGACAAGAAAAAATAGATCAAACTAGTAGTAATTAAGGAGCCATGAATCACTCAATAACATCACGAAAAGTGTTATTGGCATTAATTTGTTGGTGCATGACACGAAAGAACTATTTAGACACCACAAAGGAAGAAAACGCTAATGCATATTGTGAAAGGTAAATGTGCACTCATAGTAAACGTGTTGAGCTAATGATACAGCAAAATCTGGTTCGTAAATGATTGGATATTAAAATGCGCGAGTAATGGAATATATAGTAGTCTTTTACAACGACCAAATGTTTAGACATGTTCAGAGTTGCGAAAACACAAGTCTAAGGAGATATGAGTAAGGTTCATTGCATCCAGCAGCCAGATTGTGTGCAAAGCGCAATCGGACTCCTATTAAAGCGAAGAGATAAATAATAGCGGCCGGTGGTGATTGTCAATGTTAAAAGGTCGGGGCACACGTGTTTTTCGAGCAACACAAAAAACGAAACGTTTTTCGACCGTCTGGTTCCGGTAATATGGACGTCTCTCGGAAAACGCATCATTTGTAACTGACGACAGAAACCAGACAACTAAGTGTGGCACTTCCCGCCGAGAACAGAATACTTTGACATCGATTTAGTCCAAGTTAGGCAATGCTACGCTGTTGACAAACCTAAATGTCCCGAGAGGATGGGCATCATTTGTCAACTTTTATAACTCTCTGTACAATTAAATATTTCAATAACGGCTTTTACATGAAAAATCAATTTCACCGCACTAATTTCAACCGAGCTAACGACTCGTCTGCTATAAAACTAATAAAACAATTATTTACGAGTTAATTACTGTACTTGTATGTTGAAATTTAAGACTATAAGAATTAATTGCAATAACAATACTCCAGTATCATTGACGCTTGGAGTTCGATGACAAACAATAGTTTATTAGCAAGGTAACTATGGAATTACACATGCATATTAATTAATATTATTGCTATATTTACTAAAGTAATCCCAAAAAAGCTACGCAAAACTAGATAAAAATATATTTAAAATTATGAGTAAATATTTTTAACGAAATGTAAAATCGGAATCCTAAGCAACAGGGTATAAATATTTAATCGAGTGTTAGTTTTTGTCATTTATTTTAAATGGAAAAGTTGACCGTACATAAAGCTTCTTACAAACCAATCCCATTGGAACCCCGTCGTCTGTGTCGAGATGTCAAAACTTCTGGTCGTCGCGTTCCAATTAAATTTGACACTAGTACTGTATACAAGAACACTTATATTCCGTGGAAAAATGAGCATCGTAGAGAACGAGCTTTAGTGACTAAAGATCACAGTTTCCCAGGAGATGGTGTTTTTAGATATGAAACTACACAAAGAGTGGATTACTCTGCAAAACCCATGGATTACGGTAATAAAAATTGGTTATATTAATTGCCGTTATGAAAATTGAAATTTCGTTAATTAATTATCCTTTTACAAAATTAATTCGTAAATGGTACATTTTATAATAAATTAAGCGTTCATACAAATATATTCAAACGTTGAAATATTAAGTTACATTTACAATAGCCGATTGATACAATATTTGTGATTAAAAATAAGATAACATTAGATACTATATTAAATACTATACATATCTAGTTATTAATGGTAAAATATAAAAAAAATTGCGCCTGGATCAAGAATTGAATGGGTTTTATAAGTTTGCACGGATTTCAGTCAAGCGGAAAGGAATCCTTAAAAATAATTGTAGATCAACATGTTGTTTTGTAATAAACTATACAAAGGGGAGAAAAGTGGTGAGCTTGGAATTTCTAATACGAGAATATATTGCACAGTACTGTGTAAATAGATTGACGTTATTTAAAATATTCTTAATAGCTGTCGAGTAAAATATAAAATAGTTATTGCGTTTACGAAAATCTTTGAGAGATTTAACACTAATGAATTTCCACAGTGTAATATTTAAATTAAAATGTACTGAATAAACTTCTTCAGGTCGAACGATGGAAAGGCCGAATCTGTGTCGTTCGGCTCGTATCAAAGTTCCCATGGAGAGCGACACCAGCACGAGGAGTACGTACCAAAAACCGCCCATTACTGAACCATATTTGCGTGTAAAACAACAGCCGGCATTACGAACTTTTTCAAGGCCAATGGAGACTACAACCGTTCATCGCAATAGTTACAAACCTTTCAAACTTCAAAAGGTAAAAACCGAAGTGCTTTCACCAACCGCAGCGCTATACAAAAAACCTAAAGTGCCCATGGAACAATGCACTTCATATCGGGCAAATTTTTCTACGTCTAAACACTGCTTTAGAAAAGATAAACTCGAAGAAGAATCTAGTCTTGTGAAAAAGGCTCATGATTATTCTTAAAATGTCTTTATTTTTTAACCATTTGTGTTTTATATAATAAAAAAAAGTGATATTTTGTATTACTTACGGTATATTAGAGTGTCTGCTATTTTACGAATTTTTTAATTTTTACAAGGAGGGTTTTATTTAAAAAAAAAATCATCATATATATCTTTTGAGTGAACTATAATATATATATATATATTTTTTTTTAATGTTTTATGATATTAAAATTTGAACTCAAATTATGAAATTGACTGACGTTTTTTTTAGAAAAATTACTGAATATTGTCATTTACTTTTTAAAAATTAAAAATAACACAGTTAAGTAATTTTCTTAAAATTATACCCAATATTTAGAGCTTCAAAAAGTATTTTTATTTTAATTATAATAAAAAAATCAGATCAAAGAATAATTCAGAAATCCGTAAAATAATATTATATCATTTTAATGAATACCAACTAAAATACTAGC